CATATACATATATATATATATATATATATATATATATATATATATATATATTGACATGTTGAGGTTAAAAGTAAAAGAGACCAATGTTGAACATTGTTGACCTTACGAGAATATGCTAATTTATTCTAGTAAAATATCAAGTCCCAATATTCATACACTTCCTAAAAAAAAAACTAAGTTCAGATTATTGATAATTTTGATTCAGTATTTCTGGTAGCATTTTACTTCAATGTCGTAGTTTATATCAATATTATTATTACCCTCATGTTATATTAACTGATTTTTTAAATCGATTTAGCATTACCAATAAGCACATACTGTGCTTCACCGCCGCCAGCAAATCCACCGACTCTAAAATCTGGCCAAACCACAAAGAAACCACGAGCGACCGCAACCGCTTCGCGGAGCGTAACTTACGCATTGCGGCCAGGAGGAACACCGTTCGCCCCTAAGCAATTTACCAACGCCTTGAATCCAACTGTCAAATCCAACCCAGGACCAGGTGTCCCCAACCTGTGGCCAACCTGGTGGCCTTGGGTAACCGAAACGACAACGAAGCAAACAACAACCAAAAAAACATTGAAAAAGAAGAAGAAAATGGTAGTCAATCACAACGAACCACATAATGATACTAAAAAGAAAAAAAATGCAACCCATTTAATTGCTGGAATATTTTTTGTTGGTACAATTGTGATGGTTGGCGTTGCTTTGATGGCTGTCTGCTTTTTTAGATATCGGCATCATGAAGAGCAACCAGATATAACTAGATGGTGAGTTTTCATTTATAAATGATCATAAATTTTATTTTTTCTTCATGTCATCCAACAGTGTATAAAAAAAACATGATGAACTACACTAAATGGTCTACTACTGATGCAGTAATCTCAATTTGTCTGTTTGTATCATTTTAATAATGTTAAGTTCTTCTTCCACCATCTGGAACACCTCTTCATCTGTCTTCCTTTCTGTGTAGTTCATTGGTATCAATTTTCTCCACAGCGACACCTCGAATGCTTCAATTCTTCTCCTGTCTGTCTCTTCAAATTTCACTTGCATACGACTTGGTACTCCAGCTTTGATTGTTTGTTTTCTAATATTTAGATTGTTATTACTTGCAATCATCTCATTGTTTTCTCTTACTTTACATTTATGATTCCAATTTGCTTTTCCTCATTCAAATTTCCTCCATAACCACATCTCGAATGCTTCAATTCCCCTCTTGACTATCCTTTCAAATTTCACTTGCATAAAATGCAGTACTTCAGACTATTGCTTTGTTTGTTTCGCCATTTTAATTCTTCATTAAATGTCCCTCTCCCATACCATCTTCTACTGTTATACTGATGTACCAAAAATTCTAATAAGCTTGTTCAGTCATGTAGTTCACTATTTCAAATTCAAAGAAAACAAGTAAAAAAAAAAAAAAAAAAACAATAATAATAATAATAATAATAATAATAATAATAATAATAATAATAATAATAATAATAATAATAATAATAATAATAATAATAATAATAAGAATAATAATAATAATAAGAATAATAATATCAAAGTGCCTGGCCTTAGCCTTGGTCTTCTGATTCTTTGAAAACTTAAGGAAAGGTTTTCTCTAGAAATATCCACTAGAAGTTTTATGATGTATACTTTATATTCAGTTAACTTGTCATTTCAATACTATATTTGTAGTTGAAATTATTAAGTTTAAACAAGTCAAGCACATGGCCTGTAATAATAATATATGTAATGATATAACGACTCAGTTGCTATGACTTCATGGTCACCCCTTACCCACACATTGTGATGGTGTTATCTGAGTCGCATTAGGATGTATAAGCAATAAAGTTAGCCGTAAACTATTTTTATTTGCAAAACAAATATATATATATAAAAATATATTTGTGTGTATGTATATGTGTGTGTGTGTATGTGTGTGTATGTATGTGTGTATATATATATATGTATGTATGTGTGTGTATATGTATATATATATATGTACACTATGGTTTTTATCAATATTTACTATTGATGTTTTCTGTGGTTAAAACTGATTATAAATAATAATAATAATTTGATAGTACTGTTGTCATTGAATTATATAAATATTTAAAAAAAAAAGAAGGGAATGAAAAGAACTTGAAAAAAAAAGGAAATATTGTATTGTTCCTTTTTAATGAAGATTGTTGAAATAAATGTGGTGGTTATGCCACGAAAGAGAGAAAAAAAAGGTAGTGAACCATGTAGAGCATTGAAGCTTCCGGAGACGGTCGATATTCTCAGTATCCGGCTCAAATTTATTCGCTGTAAAGTATGTATTACCTTTTGCAGAGGTTTATAACAATAACACTGGTTATCACAATTTACAAATAATGCCGTTCCCAGAAATAATATAATTAGAAAATTACATTCACAGTTTCGCTAATCCTAACATTAACTTGGCATCCATTCAATAATAATAATGCTACGTCCGATAAACATCTGACACAAATCGCAAACAAGTTATCTGTATTATATTTGTGACGTCACATCTCAGTTTGGTATACGTTAAAAAAAATATCTTAATAATGCGTAAATGATATTGTATTCATCGTGCCGATGCGTGCCTGGCTCAGTGTTGCACAGCACTTCCCATGACGTGTTATAACCTCTGTTGTCATCAGTGTATTTTCCAATACATTCAGAATGACAGATGTTCGTGACAACATTTTTTTTATTTCAATCGGTGATAATTTGTAAAGGTTTATACATTTTATCCACACTTTTGAGCATGCATTGATATGATATTTTAGACATATAGCGCTTCTTGCCAACAGCGCTTATCATAGCTCCTTATGTTAAAATAATCCCTCCCATCAATATCGGTGGGTATGGTTTATATCTCTGAACTTACCTATTGCGATTATTTGTCTTTTGTTATATTCCGTAGCCCTAATAGCCTATGCTAAAATTATTAATGTTGAAAAATCCTGCCTTAGACCCATTACTTACACTATACGTTTCATGGGGTTTGAATAAGTATTTTTTGACCGAAATGACCTTAACATTAGACGTTTTACAGCCAATAATTAACGGAAACCAATTTTGGAAACTGTCCCGTACGTCAACCATGTAAGGGCGAGATTATTTTAAGAAGATAATCTCTGTAAGTGGTTATGACGTCTTGTAAACGTATGGTGCTTGTGAACTGTCGCATTTACCTTCTTGCCATTGAGGGCGTTCGACCGCGTACAGTCATTTTTCATGAACGCGCGGCAGTGAATTTACCGTACAGTATAGGCATAATCATCATAGGATAAAGGAAATACTAATTTGAATGTCTATTAAATATTTAGCTCTTATCCATTCAATGCAATTAATAAAATATGTCTGCGTGATGGTTGTTTCAAATATTTATGTGAATTCTGTTTTGTGAAAACGACAAAACAAGATGGTAATAAATTTTAAATAAGTTCATCTGGTGTATCCTACATAGATATTGAAACTTATCCTGTCGGTACAATGTGAAGTTTCTCATTTCTTTAAGTCTTACAATCACTACCAGAGTCTTAAAAATATAAGCAGCAAATAATTTTAACTAACGTTCTCAAGGGTACATTCGATAATCTTACGGAGAGTATCTGATGGAGCCTGTATCTTATATCATTTAACATAATTAGATATTCACAATCATTTTTATGATGTTTTGACGGAAAAATCTATGTTGGTGATAAGTACGATGGTAAGTGATTCGCTGCTGTCGTTAATTAATAGTGTGGGGTGAGAGGAGTGATATGGGAGAAATTGAAGCACAGTAGTCGTAATAATAGGAATTGTGGTAAGTTGACGTTAGTCCTTTTTTTTTTTTTAATGAAACGATTACTGTTCATCTTTAAAACTTAGTAATAAGGTATTTTGTTTGATATTATTTGTTGTTTCAGGTCAAACGCATCTGATCCACCCAAGAATCTAAGTATTACGAACGAAAAACTAAATTTAACCAAAACATACGCTGCAGACATGGATGCAAGAAATGCCGCCAGCGATTATGAGCATGGATATTCAGTTATACATGTGGATAAACGTCGAAAAAACGACTCAGTTCGGAAGAACCTCAGTCTCGGTGATTGTAGGCGTTATAGGTTGTCTAAACAAAAATACGATGATGTAATTACCGAGGGTGCACATTATCAACAAGATATCAAACTTAAACCAATCAATTCACCTAAAATGACGTCAACATATACAAATGCGCGTGATGTATCTACATATAAGGCACGCGTGCGCAGTCATAATGTCATCGATAGAATGAGCAGTGGCAGGCCTATATCAATGAGTTCTAGATCATCGATGCATTATGAAATTAATGACTTCGTCAAATATGACCAGGCTGGTCCATACGTCGTAAGTGACATCCAAGAGCCCTCATATGATTATGCGTACGCGTCAACAAAACGCGTAAAGAAAAAAAAGAGCAAGAGACAGAGAATAAAACATGAAAATAATGTATACGGTGACGTATGACATGTGTCAACATAATTGCATTCGTTTTAATTCCATTCGAATGCAAACAAAATTTATACCTTTAACCAGCAAAGAGTATAGAAAGTAAAGAGAGCAGTACGCTGGTTTTGAGTATAAACAAACGATACGACCTTATACGTAGCTATGAGAGGACGCCCGCTTCATTCGGTTGTCAGTTTTGTTTTAGTTACCCATTAGTGACTAGCACAGTTTGATCGTTTGTTTATCTCTGTTTTACAAGATACAATTCCTTCGTAGTTAGATTAATGTTACTAGTTTCGAAACGAATGCGTTTTAATATCTTGCGTTTTGGCGCACTTCCATGAGACAACCGAACGCAGTGGGCGCACTTTATGACGACTATAGCGACTTTCATCGTCGTCATAAAGAGAAAAGAATATTTAAAAACGAGCTCTCTTTACTTTCTATACTCTTTACTTTAACTTTTAACAGAGTGCATGCCTTATTCTATGTACTACAAATTTCCAAAATTGTGCTGACATTTTACAGACGTTATGTGTGATTAGTGATTATTAAAACCGGCTGTATGTAATCTGAAATCTAGAATTGAATGAAATGTTTATTTAAAGCATCAAATACGTTTTATACTACAGATCATCAAAACATAAACGATTTTCCTTTATTTACTGGGATATGCAAAGAATACAGAATTTTAATTATTATGTGAGTGTTTTTTGACGACGAATATTCCTTGATATAAATTTCAATTTATTATTTACAGTAAGTAGGCCTATACACAATATGCAATTCAAGTAATTTTGTTGATAATCTTTGTTGGCTGAATACAGGCTGTATCTTTAAGGTTAGTTGTTTCAAACTATTTTACTTTTATGTTTAAATGAATAAATTATAAAGTGAAGATTAGGCTTTTGTGTCACGTTTTGTTGGTCTGGTTTATGAGGTTCTAGATCCTAATTCATGTTATAAATTATTAATGCACATCTTTCAATTCTATAATGTTACGAAATAAATAGATAATGTATATGTTAATATTGTATGAACTAGATAATGAAAAAACAACATGACGAATTAGACATCTAACCAATCATCTGTAATTACGTCATCATCTACCCGCGCATCTCCTTAACGTATTCACGCATGCACGCGTTGATGACCCGTTGGACAACACATGTGACATCACATAATGACCATATATAGGTATATCGTGACTATATATGGGTATACAACAGTTTTTTTTGTCAAAGAAAATCTGACAATCTGGTCAGAGCATTAACAGATTTTGTAGTCACAGTACTCTAGTCACAGCCACTCTCGAATACAATAGTTTGAAACTCACTGTAAACACTCGCTTTTCTCAACTTCGTAGTTATAAACAAGATTGGCGAGTAAAATATATCATTATCTGTTTTTGATCTCATCAAAACTGTTGATTAAAGATGGTTACGTTCAGCAGATACCAGTACTGGGAATACTTTATGACGAGACTTTATTTAACTATCGTAAGCATTTATTTTACGCAAGCAACTATGTTATCGTAAGTATCTATGCATATTTTCTAATATAGTTTAATGGTAATCTAGTAGGACTCGGCTATTCTGTTATGGTTTTATCAGTCTAACAAATGTCCCACGAATCTAAAAAAAAAATATCTATGCATAATGAAAGTCTTCTGAATCGAGAGGAATGGTTGCCATGTAGGCCTATTTATAATACGGGAGTAGAGATACCATGGTGGTTAAGATGTTCGCTTTTCAATCCTAGGGCCCTGGCTTTAAATCCTCTTACTGTAGGATTTTATTCTCACCACTAAAACCAGCCTCACTTTAGATGCATTGGATTTAAACGAACTGTAATATATCATATAAATATATAATAGGCCTATAAAAATACCGGAAACCATGATATGGGAAACAATGGCTGGATCTCGCTACCGATAAACAACTGATAAGAAAAAAACTAAAATGTAAACACAAATTAACAGCCCGAAGTAGAACAACAGCTTTCGGACAACCCTAATCTTCCCTCAGTACCTTCTTTAGTTTACACATTTGACAACACTCTTTTAGCTCTAGTTCTCCAGATTATTGACGAAACAATGCAGAGTTGTGTATGTGTATTTAACAAGATGGCCGCCGTAGGAAAGCGCCGCATTCAGCTTAGTACACATTATTATTACAGCCCAAATAAGACCGCTGACTAACTGTTGCTTCACTAATCATTATTATTAATTATATTAATAAATGATTATACTAGCCTAGCTAAAAAAAGCCAAGTAGAGTAGCTGATATAAAAATAAAGTACTGAGGAATGAAAATCGAAATCGTATATAACGCTTCAACATACTGTAACTAAGCTGTACTTCCATGTGTAAATTAAGGGCGCCATTGAAAACGATGCTTACGCGTATAGTATTTAGATTTTTGATTGACTGGATCTATACCAGACATCTTGTTGAGTACACACACATCACTACGTATTTAGAAAATCGAATGCATTGGATTTTACTCTCTACGCTATAATAATACATGATCTGTACCACCTGATAGAGGGCGATCCGAAAACATGTCAGTTTTTTTTTTTTTTCCAGGCATTAAAAACTCTACATTTTTGCTTCATGTGTTTTACTATTATTACATAGTCCATAATCTCTCACCAGCTCAAGATTTCCAATGACTACATTGATAAACAATAAGGACGAACATTCAACCATCTCATCCGACCAGATGAGTGACGCTGATAACTCAAATAACAATATAATGTTAACATCAGTCTCAACTGGCGCAACTCAAAGGGTAATTACACCACGCTACACCGTGACAAGCTCTGGCTACAACAATGACGGTAATCGTTTTATAATGATAGGGAGCTTTCGATTGCAAGACGACGGTAGGCCGTAGAGCGTAATGACGTCACTAAGAAGTCATCTGCGCATGCGAGCACGTTTAGTTATCGTTGTCACCTGGATTCCAGGACGCAGGTGGTTTGCCTGAATATACGTTGTGCACAGAACGTAGGCTGGTCACAGATAGTGAATCCGTTCTAGCGCAACTCGTCGTGCAAATTGAAAGATCTTATGATTAATGATATTAATATTTCTTTATAATTTATTTATTTAAAAAAAATATTATTTGTTTTAATTATGACATTACAATTTGTTTTGTTTTTTGAACCTATTTAATTTCAGTGCGTAGAGTTCTTATCACGCCATCTTAATCTCTCCGCCACACAGTGTAGCTCACGCAACCACGTTGGACCGTACCACTTTACTTAGAGGGAAATGTTGGTCACCTAATCACAAATAATAAATGAAATAATATTGCAACATTTTATAATGTCTTAAATTCATTTTGGTCAGTCACTATATCTGATATATATATATTTTATGGTACTGTATAATCAATAAGAACACTGTATAAAAAAAGTCAAGGAGACAATCTTAGTCAAGACGCTCTATACTATAGTTAGAATTTAGCAAGCCTAGGCCGCCTTTGCCTACATGTATAATGGTCGAGTCCATCGAACCGGCAAAATCACGCTGCCGGTTTCGAAAAATAACTGAACGTTTTTAAACTGCTCGTAACAAAAAACTAAACGCTTAATTCTAACTATGTTTACATATTACAAATCAGCAAAGATTTCTCTTACTTTTGATACAAAAATGGTAAACTTTATGCAAGTATTAGCTGAGAAATCGCTGTTTTTCTCTCAACTTTACCGTCCAGCACGAGCCGCCTGTCGGCGAGAACTGCCGCCTATCCTTTACCATTAGTCGATGTGTGTCAGATCGAGTCAATGTCTCTAAAGAAATGGGCGTTCCGACGAGACCTCTTATCCAATCAAATTGATTTTTAGCTTAACAGACAGCTTGATTAGTCTATTTTACATACCGAAACTGCCGTTAAAATCGGCCCACTGGTTCAGAAGTTAGAGTGATTTTTGTAAACATGATCGCAAAATTTTGTAAACAGATAGGAGTTAATACACTGGGCGATCGCCAACTGACTTGGCTTAAAAAAAAGATTCCGACGACACCTCATTGATTTTAAAATTAAAAATAACATGACATTATAGCTGAATAAATAAGGAAAAAACAGCCAAAAAATCGGTCTAATATTAACGAAGATACGTTAAAAAAACTGCTCAAAAAGGGCTGATTTTCAGCGATTTCTCACCGTTTGGCGATTTCGGGCCGGATTTTTGGAACACAAAACAAATTGTAATGACATTGATAATAATAATAATAATAATAATAACAATAATAATAATAATAATAAATATAATAATAATAGTAATAATAATAATAATAATAATAATAAATATTACCGTATTATTGGTATTTATTAATATTATTATTATTATTATTATTATTATTATTATTATAATCATCATTATTATTATCAATATATACATGTTCTTAGAAATTTGTGCCTTTTGATAAAGCAAAATAATTTACCTATTGAGCTTTCGACTACTTCTTCACAATGACGATGACATAATATCATTGGGATTATGACGTCAGCAGTGAGGCCCATGAAATCTAGTGTCATTTTGAACAAGATTAGAGTGAAGATCGAAAGCTCAATACAAAGTTATTTTGCTGTACCCAGAGATATAAAGTTTTAAGATCATTTATATAGTATCTGAGACAACTATAGTATAGTTGTCTCATTTAATATGTATTTACATAATTAAAATATTAATATTACTGTTACTATTACTACATTGATATTATTATTATTACATTTTTGTTATCAAGAACCATTATTTCTATGCCACTTATTATTAATTCTTCGTAGAATTATTCTCAACCAAGCAACTTCTCTATAGCACTACGTCAACCTCATTTACGACTCAAAAGCAACAACGAAATAAAAAACAAGACTCTACTGACGTCAACGAAAATGATAAAAAAAGTAAATTTTTAGTCATAGTGTATTCAAAAAGCAGGAATATCCTACAAAATAATGAAGAGAAAGAAGAAAACACGGACACAGAAAATGATACAAAACATGATATTATAGGTGGACTAGGAATTGCCATTGTCATGATTGTCGTGCTGATTGCCATCTACACTGTGATACGATATGACATATGCGCTAAAAGGTATCGTAATTCATAATCTCTCTTTAATTACTACAGTATATCCTTGATATTGGCATTACTTTTAATTTTTCGAAGTGACGAATAAGTTTAATGATGAATTGCTAATACCCAAATCGTTATTATGGTCATATATTTTATACACAGTATTAGGAGTCAATGTACTATAATCATTGAGAAATTTTGGCAATTTCAAATAACAGAAGGTGTGCTTATAAAAAATACTATTTTCAAAAAATCTTTAAATGCGTTTTTCTCAAAATGCACTTTTCCACATTCGCCACTACGTTATATAAGGGACGATATAACTCTCTTTAAATACTACAGTATGTCCTTGTTATTGGCGGACCCTTTTATAATAACATTTATGATGATATTAATAATAAGTAACAACAATCACAATTATAATTATATTGATAAGGCTGATGATAATAATGATAATTATAATGATAATGAATATAACATTAATAAATTAATAGGGCAGTCAGTCAGTCAGTGCATACCGCCACCCACCCTGTGCCTGAATACCAACAATATGAAGGCCGTGTATGATGGACGATTGTATTATTTTCCGCCTTTTTGCTAAATACCGAAGAATTCCAGGTCGTGTACGATGGGCGTATTGAGGCACATTATTTTATTTAGTGCTGAAGCATACCCTCATGAAAGTAATGAAATCGCCCATCGCATTCAAGGACATTATACCTACAGATACCGAATAATACACGCAGAGTGGTGTTACTAGATGTTATTGCCTATTCCATCAATAATTATGCTCAATGTCTGTTTTGAGTTTAGCATAAGTCCAACTTTGAGATGTTGATAGATCCCTGAGATGTGAGAAGGAGTTTGCGTCAGGAGCAGCCTACCTATTGATCAGTAATGGCAGTACCATCAGCTTAGTGTAGGTCAGTGAGGTGGATGCATTGATGGCTGCTTGATATTGAAAACATGATGGCTTGAGTGTTTTAGTAGTAGGTCTAATCGGCCTATACTTTTAACAAAAAACTGGGGTCTAATGTGGCAGCTTAAAGAATCAATTACCTGATGGTGAAATACTTCGTCGGGCTACCGAACGTTTGTACGTAGCTTGTGTTGGGAAGATTCTCAACATATTATAATGGAGATATGTTTAATAATTTCAGCAGGCTCATATCGTAGAGGCGCAAAATATACAAAGTTCGTCAAAAACCCGTAGCTTCCAGGGGGATTCGCCAAATTGACCCCCACCAGGGGCCCTTGGCGTCCACTCGGCAATCAGCCAGATGCTCGCCTCGCTCGCATACTGGACCTTATGAAATGGCCTACCCACTTTCAAAAACGTTCCGCCGCCGTTGACATCAATTGCTTATTCAACATCGAGTCATTTTACTGTAGTTTGTAACAGGCCTAGACAATACAGTGCTTTATCAATGATTATCGCAGCTCTTTGAGCTGTATTATCTTTCTCGCAAGAATAATACGTTTTATCCGGATTTTAAACTAGGGGACACGTCCACCATGCTACAGCTCCTCTGATTATTGTGAAGTAACCTAATTAATTTCTAATAATGTCTTTTTAAAGATGTATTGTCCACTGATAATGACGAAAAAGATAATTGAAATTACCTTGCTCATTTTGCAGTAAAACACTAATTATTATGAGCATAGGAATTATCAAAATGTGTACCCTGATTTTTATACTGGGTAATGATAAAGATAATAAAAACACTTTTCGCTTAAAATTATGGGTAAAAATTTGTTTTTAAATGTCTATGTTCAAGTTTATAATTAGTACTTTAAAATGAGTAAGTTTATTTTTCCTTATTGTTTTCACAAGTATTTTATTGCTTTCTATTAAATGATTTAAGTTGTTAGAAATAATAGTTTAAATAAGAAAATAAAAACCTTTGTTGCGTATTTAATTTTTCTCTTTGACGGCATGTGGGCCTTTCTGTAAATATTTTTTCTTCAATGTAACCTTTTGTTGTTTATGTTAATGAACCACTAACGGTACCGTACAATATGCACTAGATATGTCATGTTTAATAATAGATGGATTTATATAGCGCAAATAAACGAGGTCTCTATGTAGTTGACAATAGGTATAAAAGACAACGAAAAAATGGCTTAAATAATGCCAAGAAAAACACCAAGCTAGCACCCAAATCGAAGAAACCGATAGCTGTGTGTATATACTCCGGTTGGCATCGGTTAAGTCTTAGTCATATCTGAGATCACGTGTCTCTTAACTTGGGCCAAATAATACTAGCTATAGCGAAGTGAAAAAAAATAATTTGAAAAAAGAGAAAAAAGGTATTTATAAATAAGCGAATAGAAAAGTTTTAATCATATCATTGTCCCCCTTCATTAAACCAAGACTGTTATAAAAGGCTTATACAATTATTTATTTTTGTGTGTTATAATATATGTATTTTCACATAAATATTTACATGAAATGATATTGTAGTTCTTTTTTAATATATGCAGATGCAATGATACTGTAGCCATTGCTGAAGTGAACTACGCAAACTCACAAGGTAAATTTCTTATAACTGATGATTTAGACTTTGGATTAGCGAAGGCCTATACCGCCTCTTCTAATTAATCAATAAGATACCGAAGATGTGCATTATTCTATATTAGATGCTTGTGTATAAATTATGTACCAGGGGATTGGCTTGAAATATATTATTTTTGATATATTTTATTTTAAAGCATATTGTTTTTATGTTGAATGGGTTAATTAAGAATCAAGATTTTTAAAATGTATACACTAAAAAAATATTATAATCATTAATAATAAAAAAGAAATAGTAAAAAAGATTATGGTTCAGTGTTTTGTA